TAGTATTTGGCAGTATGGTATAAAGACATGTCGAAAAGCCCTCGTCATTTCCGGGTCAGGTTCAAGTTAATCATGGCGGTAAAACTGCAAATTCCCCGAAAAAGTGCTTGATTGGATGTATTAGACGAATGATTACACAATTGATCATGATGGATTATTTAATTACAATTCAAACCGAAGCTATCGCCGCAGATCGCTGAAAAAAATAACAAAAGTAAGTGTTGGAAATCTTCATTTGAAATTTGGCGGTACCGGTAGTGCTCTGACGAAGCTTCTTCCCTTGTGTATGTTTATGTGTGTTGTGACCCATATCAGTATAGCATATGTGTGTATTTCAGACATTTGTAACGTGTCCCTGTGGTCTGCCGTTACCATTCGTAAGAATGGAATAGTGAATAGAATAGCTGTTATCAACTTGTTTCAAGCGTTTTCGAAACTATAAGTCCATTGACATCTTGAACACGTGTGTTATATTTGTAATTTATAATAAATAAATTTAGTAACGTTACCGTAACACGTTCAAATCACGTGAAACCTGTGCATCTCTGTTATAATACACGTGGTCGTTTTGGAAAGCAACGACGTTCGGGCCTTGGATGAACACGGCTTCTGCTAGTTATTCCTTCCGTCTGTCGTCAGCTCAAGATGAAGAAATCGACTCCTCTTTGAGGAATTCCATTTTATGGTGAACTGACCTCATACACCTGGGTATTGTCTGTCGTCACCAAGTATTCACAGCTCATTTTCAGAACCAGATTGATATACAGCATATAATTATATATGGGTATAGCGGCTGTCCAAAACATTACAAAAACAGGCATTGTTCCTATTGAGCTTGCTATAGATAATATATACATCAATCAGCATAACGCCCAAACGGAACTTCACTTTCCATTGACATCTAGACGCTGCGTTCATTACTGTTTGAAATGTTAGTTTTGACCTTTGGCGAAAGATAAGATAACTAGACTGGTAAAAATTGGTCCGAACAGAAAAATCGACAGGGAAAAATATGCAGACAGGGTGAATAGAAGCGACAGGAATAGAGAAAGACATGTCGCACTAACAGTGTTTGGGGAAATGGTTAATAAAACAAATAACCTCGAGGGTTGTACAGGTTTGGCCCTACACTTGTTGACTTCTATCGTGACCAAGTATATCTGACGGAAGGACAATGCGAGGAATTCCATAGGACCGTATCCGTTACAACCTATTTACTCCTCAATTCATCGTCAATAAAAGGAAAACATCAATTGTCGATGACAGAAACTCATCACCGCACCAGTCAGTGTCACACGGTACCATTGCCTTGCTCTGTACGGGGGGCAGGTGTGGTGCAATGGCAAATGTCGAAAATCTCGTTGATAAAATAAAACAGGTACTCAAAACGACTCTAACATCGTTATGAATCACAAACCATAGTGTCGTACTACTAGTGGTTTTAGATTTTATCACGTTGCCATTATGTGTTTCAAGAACAAGTGTGTGACCAACTTTATATCATGTCATAATCTGGGCCTTTCAACAGGTCATATGACGACGTGTCTACTGATGACCACTCAACCACTAAGGTCATATGACGACGTGTCTACTGATGACCACTCAACAACTAAGGTCATATGACGACGTGCCTACCGATGTCGGGACCACTCAGCAGCTAGGGTCATATGACGACGTGTCTACTGATGACCACTCAAAAACTAAGGTCATATGACGACGTGTCTACCGATGACCACTCAACCACTAAGCTCATATGACGACGTGTCTACTGATGACCACTGAACAACTAAGGTCATATGACGACGTGTCTACCGATGTCGGGACCGCTCAGCAGCTAAGGTCATATGACGACGTGTCTACCGATGCCGGGACCACTCAGCAGCTAAGGTCATATGACGACGTGTCTACCGATGACCACTCAACCACTAAGGTCATATGCCGACGTGTCTACTGATGCCCACTCAACAACTAAGGTCATATGACGACGTGTCTACTGATGACCCCTCAACCACTAAGGTCATATGACGACGTGTCTACCGATGACCACTCAACCACTAAGCTCATATGACGACGTGTCTACTGATGACCACTCAACAACTAAGGTCATATGGGCATGAGACTGATAATAGGAGACACACAACAACTAAAGACACATGTCGACAGTGTCCACTTATGGTACCGGGGCCACTCAACAACTCGGGACATACGACGGTAAAACGTGTTTAAGTCAATAGGACTACTGCATTGATCACATGACAAACAGCAATACAAAAAAAACATTTGAGCAATAAGAGACCTCGTCTTTATATTCCCATGCCCCTGCCCTACGATACATCCGATATCAAACTCGTTTCACATGTAAAAACCAGTATATACTGTAATTATTTAACTCACTGATCAATTTCGTGTGAGACACTTCACGGAATGTTAATGTATTTAACATGACAACGTACCTTTAAAGGGTTATCCAAAATCATTAAACATTGAAATACGTCTGCTGTCCTTTACATGTTAGTTACATATACTACAATAGCACAAATAAGCCGGTGAGATGTGAAAGTATTGGGTCCTTTTGAGGGATTTTTTTATGACCGAGTTGTATGTCCGTTTTACACCCGTCAAAGGTCAAACCTGGCTATTTTCTAACGACCACAGACTTTAATGTTGCATATATTTCCGAGATAATCCGTTTGATCTATAGAACACCAGCACACATATATTACACATGCCCTGGGGAGTAGATGTGGACATAATGGGCAGCCTTGCCTAACGCCATCAAAACATCATAATTTACGTCACATTTGATAAAACTAATCGGAAATGATAATCTATGAATAATTCCACTGGGCATATCCTTATAGACCTTGTAGGTCTGTATATTGTATTCTCTGCTTTAACACTTTTCATTTACAACTTTGCAACAAAAACAAATGTACTGTTGTCAAATTTAGGAAACAAGGAATTTGCGTTCCATTCAATTCGAACAATATCCTCTGGATTTTCCAAATTATAATTTAAAAGACAAAATGAGACACTATTTTCACGATGCATTGTTGTGTGTCGATTCGTGATTTATGACCTTCTATAGCTTGCATTTGATATCTTGATTTGTATCGGTATTAAGCAAACTTAGCGGTTTTACCTGCTCTCAATCAAGCTGGCCAGCTTATTGATAGCATGGAGGTCGTTGTAGCAAACAACCGACTTTATTTTCAAAGATATTATTACTAATTATTACTATTACAATAAATCACAGACTGTGAGTAAAAGTCGTTAAACTTTTAAATGTTCCCCGAAAGTAACTGCCTTGTCATCCGTACCAATACATACATTATGTACATTGTACAAAAGACGGTTCGGATATCAAGGTCACAGCGGAGCGTAAATTTGCTCATTAATCACAATTCAAAGCTTCAAAGTGATACCGACTTTAGGTGTGTGACAGGGTGCATCACCGTCGCCTTCACTTTTCTACCGTAACCTCTGGTAAACATGGACGCCGCACTAATAATGGTGAACAGACTACAAACTACTCTTAATGTTATATGTATCAGTGGAAAACACACTTAGTCTTAAAAACATATTAAGCGTATAATGCAAAGATTGCTATCTACATGTGAACATACAGGCGAGATACAGATAAAGATACTATTGACATTTATCGACAATGACAAAACCGTTTTTGACATGAACAAAAGGAAAGCGGCTAACAGTACTACGGAGGGTCGAGATTTTATTTAAT